CAGGTTCAACTATCGTATTAGTATTAACATAATTTGAAAAAAAATAGTTTATAATATGTTTCTTTTTATTTATGTTTATTTAGGTCGAGAAGCTTATGACAGTGAAGGAGAATCTTATACAAATGTCAAAATACAAAAAGCCAAATTAAATAAAGTTCCTATACATTTGAGAACAGTCAATAGTGGTAACACAATTCAAAAAGAATTTAAGAAAATCAAAAAACCTATCTTATGGCCGTGAATACTTATTTATGATAACAAGATATCTATATAAAAAATGTGTATATTTTAAGTAATTTAATATAAATTATAAAATTGACTGACTTATGTTAAATTAGTCCACCTCACCGCCCCTATTGCCGTCCTTTTATACGAACATCTAATGAAGTATGATCAGTTAATTTTTCGAATACTGATGTTTATTTTTAATGATAAAAATTTATCATATCCATAAAACCAATGTTTCCATTTGGATTGAGAATGCGAGTATAATAAAATAAAATAACAACTACTCGTATAAATTTTTCTATATTAGAAATGAATATAACAGTTTGTAACATAATTATTAATAGGTAAAGTCGTATGGACTTCTAATTTATATAAATGTAAATGTTAATGTTGATATTCAGTATTGGGGGTGTGGGGACGAAGTCCCCACGAGTCGCTGGTATCGTTAAAATTCAGCCCACCCAGAAATTGAACTTCAGTTGCGCCTATGGTAGGGGTGGTATGGGATTCACCCCCCCACTGTTAAAATTAAAGCTAATAAATAAATAAATAAATAAATAGATAATAATAAAAATAATTGTTACTTAAATATTTCAAACACCACCTCCATAAATAATTTTTAACTACAGTACAATAAATATAGAGACATAAGTTGTTTCCGTCTTTAAAACTGTCGTTATCAAAAATCGACCACATTTTGTCACAATTTTAAAACATACATAAAAGCAATAATGGTCATTTACTAAATAAAAGTTTTTGTCAATAGTTTTTTGTTTACAAAAAAAAAAAAAAAAAACATTAAAATATAACCAATTAATAGAACTTAAAACAGAAACAAAAACAAAACATATAATTAATTAGTTAGTTAAATGGAAAAATTCAGGAGAAGACAAACTAAGGAGGGAATAAAATATCCTAAAACTTGATTGAATTCCCAGCTCACATTCCGACTTCAACATAAATATTGTATAAATGTTATAGAAAATACATAACAACTCTATTAAAATATTAAGAGGTAAAATCAAGTTAAATATAAAATATTGTCACCATTTAAATTTATTGTTTTTATACTTAATGGACTTTTTCTTATCGGAAATTCTTTCAGCGCCATTGACTAACCACTTCCCAATCTGAAACGCTGAAAATCTGAAATAAACTAATAATAAAAAGTAAGTACTAAATTACAATATTTGGTTACAAAAAAGAAAAACTCCATATCAATCAATTTGATCCCTAATCAAAAAATCTGCTTAATACTTATGGTACAGATATAGGAGTATGTATACAAAAAGTGTTAATAGGAAAAAAAAATTTTTGTAGGTACGAGTTCAAGCTATTTAAAATAATTGAAGAGTTGTTTCATTAAATTTAATTAAATTGAGATTTTAATATCTAAATAAAGAAGAATATAATAATTTGGTTTTTGTATTTGGTACAAGGACAGTGGTAAATAATATAAATATCAAAGGATACATAATTATTTTTTTCTATAAATACTTTTTCGGGGTAATATGTTTTTTTTGTCAACACTTTGTCAGTAGTAAATTAACATTAAATTCGTGTTAGATAAATTGAGACAATATATAAAAATTATTATTTTTTTTTGATTTTTTTTTTGCTTTATAATTTTCTTAACTATAACAATTAAAAAAAAAAAAAAATTGATGTTACAATTTAATTTTTTTTTAATAAAATGTTCGATTGTAAGTGTAATTTATATTACTAATAGCTTACACTTTGTACCAGTATCATTAATTTTCTCATCAAATTTTAAGGTATTTAATTAAATTTTGTGATTTGTTTTCATTTAAATCAAGCAAGATTAGTAATATTATACTTTGACCATAACAGAACACTAAATTATTGATTTATAATTATGTAAACCAAATATTATAACAGTATTATAAATCCAGATAATTTAGGTAATATGTAAGTGGTAAAAGGAAATAAAGTGATTTTGTTTACTCAAAAGTTGTATTTTTCATGACATATATCACTTAAAGAATTTAAAAAATAATTCCTACCAGATTAGAATTACTGTTTACGATTTAAATTTTTATTTCAAGTCCAATTCATATGGGTTGAACATAGCGATACATAACATGACTATGCATTATAACATTTGTCTATGTTGATTTTCATACTGACCCATTCAACATCACACCAACACTGACTGATTCAGTATAAATAGGCAACTAAATTCCATTGTCATTTCTCAATAAGATTCTAAAAAAAAAAAATATTTAAGTTTAATCATACATTATTTTATGCAACTAAAATATGAATTGTCAATAAAATATTAATTTCTAATAATATTGTTGAAGGGGCCAGCAGTGATCAGTAATATTACACGATCCTTGTATACTTCTTTTGTTTTAATTATAATATTTATCCTTTATTTATTTATTCAATTTATGTTTGTATGAGTATGTGTATTTAATAATAATATATAATAGTAAAGAAGAAAATTTGGTAACTTAAGTTTTCTTTATTATTACAATTTTAGTGTTTGTACTTTTGCCGGTCCTTAATTACCTAATGCATTTATCAGCTGTATGTGGATTACAAACATTTGACAGAAAATTGTTGATGACGTTCCATGTTAAACCACTATGAATTGGGCTATATTCATACCAGAATATAATACAATAAAAAAATAAGAAATCATTGAATAAAATTAAATATTTTATGTTTGTATGTATATATATATATATATATATATATTTATTTTTTACAAATATATTGAAAAAATTAAAATGAATAGTTATCTTTTATGCTGTAAAAGAAGCATATTAGTTTTACTTTACAAATTTAAAGCAAAAGTTAAACAGAAGTAACATAAATAAGAAGTTTAACAATGTGTACCTACAAACATTGATTCATATATGTATATAAATATAAATTTTAATATTAAAGATAGTATATGCGTACAAACAATATATAAATACAATACAATTTACGTTAAACATGTACAACTGAAGATTGCAACCAAATGCATTAAAAAATAGTGTTTTATAAATATATATTTTAATCTAATATAAATATTTTATTTTTTTCTACCAAAATATAAGTTAAACTAAAACCTTTATAACAACAACAAAATGATTCAGCAAATATCGATAAATAAGTGATAATTAATAATAAAATAATATGATGTGCTTGCAAGGTTTATGACACATTCATTCTCTTATGACTTGAATTTTGCAATATTGTTTATAGATTAAACTATAATAAAAAGAACTACTTACATTTAAGCATAATACCAAAACAAAAATATAACTTCATGAATAAATTATCTGGTTTAGAAGTGACATATTTGTAAAATACTATAGGTAAACAGTTACATACATTGTCATTCTAAATACCCCCTAAACATTAATCAAAATAAAATTTTCATTAAAAAATTATTTTAACATTTCAATTACAATGTTTATTTTTGAAAACATGATCAACAATTTTAGTAAAGTAACAGTTTAGAAAACATAATATTTAAACTACACATACAGAAGTAACATTATTACAACATTCAAATCATTAAGGAACATTTCGCACCTATATTTTATTTGAATATTCTAAGATAGTAGACACTTTCACATTTATAATAAATTTATTTTGTAGAGGTTGTATTAGAAAATGGTCTTTGGCTAATATTTTTTTTTCTCACAAAAGATCAATTTACTAAAATATAACTATTTCATTGAGCCTTTAAAAAAAAAATATTGAAATAAGTGAATAAAATGCTATACATATAGATAAGATTAATATAAAAATAATTATTTACACTCGGGACACCAAGATTTTCTTTTTTTTTTGATATTAAATGTAATAAACATCATTTATTTTAATTTAATATACAATATAATTCATTCTCAGGGCGTAAGAAAAAGAGTATAAAAAAATAATATTACATAGTCAGTGTATAATAGATGGTGAAACACAATATATACTATTACTTAATAACATTAGTAGAAATTTTGCAGTAAAATAATTAACTAAATTTCTAACCTTTCATATTATGTAGTCATAGTTCTTCAAATATATGAAAGTTACCAAATTAAAGGATTGAAAATAATGGTATCACAACATATATTATTGCCAAAAAACTACCAATAATTAATTTGGTATACTAAAATACTACTATTAAAAACAGTAATACACTATTTATTTTGGGAAACTTAAAAATACAGAATAAAATCAAATACAGTATTAAAATAATTAAATTTTACAATGAATTATAAATGCATGTAATTTTAATATGGTTTACTTTTATGAAACAGTTGTTTTTGAATACATTGACATCATTCTTAAATCCTTCTTGATTATTCTTAAACAATATTAGCAGTACCAATATATTAATTTAAAAATCTAATATAAATTGTGTTATTACATGAATTGAAAAAACGTTCATTAATAAAGCATCGAGTGAAATAAAATTATTCCACTTCCCAGTAAATGTTAATTTTTAAATACTCAAAAATTCTTATACCCTGTAAAACTAAGAAGTTTATTACTTTGAGAATTTTATTACATTATATTTATTTATAATTGTTATTTTATTAAATTCATACTGCCAAAAAAAAAAAAAAATCAGTCCCATGGAGCAAAAAAATTAAAATTATAATAGTTTAAAACTTAAAATACTTAGTTGTGACTAAACAAAAATATATATATTTTTTGAAACACATGAATATCTTATTTTTTGGTCTTTGAACACAAATTAAATTATAACATGGTCAACAAATTTTTCCATACTTTTAAAAAAATATACTTCCTTAACAGTTAAGATATAAATAATGTTGACCATGAAAATTCAAAATATCTTGCTTAGCAAGTCTAAAATCAAAGCTTAGTATGTATGAATATAATGGCATATAATTTCAAAATAAATTAAAATATTTGTGTAGTACAACATTAAAATGTCTAATAGAACAATTTACAAAAAAAAAAAAAAATTAATAGTTATAATAAAAAAATTATGTGTGGGACACATACATACAATTTGTTCCACTCAACATAACAGTAATTAAAATAATTTACTCAGTAGATTCATCATCCAGTTTCCTTTTTTTCCCTCTAGTATCTTGTGATTCTGTAAATTGAATTTAAATTTATAATAAATATAATATTCATCATATATAATTATTAAGGATTAAATATTATAAACACAATAACTAAGTGTTAAAATAAATAACAGTGTCAATGATATTTGATTATTATTTTAATATTGGCTTCATATTTTAAATACTAATTGCATTAAGCAATAGATACCATTAGTAACAATATACTGTGTAAAGCTTATGAAAGCACAATGATAAGTAAGATATTTTAAAAATGAAATGATTTTTATTAAATTACATCTAATAATCACTTTTTACTGTAATTTGACTATTTTATTTGTAAAATTATAAAGGATAATTTACCCCAACTCTAAATTTAGATAATGTAACTATACTAATTATTTAATACATTACTGTTTTATATTATTTTTAGATGAAATACTAAATTTATATAAATGTAGTATAATAATATAACTATTAAACTGTAAATTGAATGACTTATTATATTTAGAATCCCGAAAAAAAAGAAAAATTTGATGTAATATGTAAGTCAAAATGTCATAAAAATAAACAAACACTAACAAATTTATACATCTAGTTAATTATTCTATTCTAGAAGTTGAAAAATAGTCTATGGTGCAATATCACAAGATCAATATCAAAAAGAAACAAATATCACCATTATCACAAAAATAATTATTGATTTAATGTTTGCGCATCAATCATCATTCTGAAATTTTTTTGTTCATACTTAAACAAATATTGGATAAAACAAAATTATATTCATAATGAATTTACATAAATGCCTACCATTAGCAGTGCTATCATCTGCTTCGCCAGCATCATCATCACTCTCATCACTGGAATCTTGATCAACACCATCTTCTTCATCTAATACATAATCATTTCCTTCGCTTTCTTCATCAATATTATCTTTTAACATTTCTTCCAAACCTACTTCACCAGCTTCATATACTTGATCATCCGAGTCATAATCGTCACTATCATCATCATCTTCTTCACCATCACCTTCTTCTACTTCAGCTAAAATATGAAATTTTAAAATTAACACTTTCCTACTCATATTATTTAGTAATATTTTACCTTCTGATTCTGAACCATCCTCCTCGTCATCATCACTATCAGAATCTGATTCATCTTTACCATTAAGGAGAGAATCTCTAAAATTGTAAATATTTTAATTTAATTAAGAAACCTATGAACATGAAGTAACTAATAAATCATACCCATCTAAACATCTGAGGGTTTTTGAGAACTTTTCTAAAACGAATTCTTTATACCCTTCTTGTTTGGTTACTTCATTACTAGATAAATCCAAAAACTTGAGACGTTCTAATGATTTCTACAAATAAAATTTCAGTTAACAATTGAAATATAGTACAATATATTTTTAAGAATAAGTATTAATTTTATTACTAATTACCAATGGTTCAATAGCTTCAAAGTCTTTCAATTTATTTTGGCAGAGATTCAATGATTTAAGTTTGATACAACCGCTCAAATTTTGCAGACTATTTGAAATTCGATTTTCACTGACATCCAACTAAAAAAACAATAATAAAGGATATATAATTATCATCAATAATGTACTTATCATCATTATTAATTTTATAACTTACGTATAAAAGTAAAGGCAACTTTGGAAAACCTTTTAAACTAGTTAAACCAACATTAATTAAGCTCAGACTACGTAACCCAACATATTCATCTGTAAGGCCAACTATTGCAGTGCTACGACAATCATCCAAAATCAATTGATCTATCTAAAATAATTAGACATTTTTTTTTAAATATAGCAATAAAATGTATGTATCATATTTATACAAAAATCTATAAATCATGTAATAAAGTTGTATTAGAGTTTTACAATTAAAACCAAAAATGTATACATACATAGAATAAACCTCTAGTCATTATGACATAAATCAAAAAAAAATTAGGAATTTAAAAATCATGGTTTTATTTTAAAAGAATTTAGCACTTGTTTTTAAACAGTAATTTAAAATTAAAATGGAATTCTATATTTGATTATTATATAAATTATACATCTACCTATTGTTTATAATTTTAATACAATAATAGTGTTTAATGAAGAACATTATTTAAATTAAATTAGAAAATTAATAGATTTATTTTTAACCATAAACAAGATCATTAATAATTAAAGGTAATATTTATGTTAAATATGTATAAAAATAAGAACTAGATTAAAAAAAAAAAATTATGGATGGAAAGAGTTGTACAAAAAGATCTTAGGTACATTTTATTGATTTGTATGTAAACTTTGATTCGAAAATTCATAATTCATATCTTCACCACAAGAAAAATGGGATACAAGACTAAAAGTAGCCAAGGATTCGTTGAAATTAAACAAATATTAATATTATATTTTTAATTTGAATCGATAGCCATTGTATAAAAATACAAAATATTTTCTGGATATTAAATATGATGGAATAATAACAATCAAGAAAAAACACGGTGACGATGTATTTAAAATTTAAACATGGCCGCCGGCCAAATACCCCCCTACCGCCCACCCATATAATCCAATGCGGTGTACACATATACGCGCACGCACGAACTTTATACGCAATCGCACATATACACACACACACACACCTGTCCATCCAATCGTTTTCATCGTTATATCGATAGCTCAATTAAAACCGTCGCAGCGAAGTCGCTAAGATATGAAAACGGCGGCGATATGTAATAACAAACTGCGTAAGATGGACGGTTAGGCTGACACGAGAATGGAATATGATTTTAAGTTCGGTAGGGGGGGGGGCAAGAACAAATATAATAAATAATATAAAATATTAAAAATATGAAAAATGATCAAATAAGAGAAAAAAGTAAATACATAAAATAATCAATAATATCTTGGACACGCTGTGTTTAATTGTACATCATATCGTGAGCAGACATCCCGACGTGTGAATTTTAAGTCAAGGAATGTTGTTAAAATTACTGGTAGAAACGTGCAGTCCAACGGTTCGGCATGTCGCGATGGATTACACGAGCACGCCGGTCGACGTTCGAAAGCGCGCGCGTATTCCAGATTCGAAAAACAGGAATAGGAAAAATATCAAACCGAAATAATTCGACGTTTGTTCTATATTACCTCTTCAGGTTTGCGACCTCTCTTTTCTAGTTCGATTCTCTTCTCCATGTCAATATTATTTTCGTCCGTCGTGGCGGCGGGAGGTACGTACAAGATGCGCAAAGCGTGCGGGGCGCTCTGGTAAAACGGGATGACTGCTGCGATCGTAGACGTTCGTACGGAAAAGAAAATTTCGAAAAACGAATAAAAATAAAAACAAAACCCGTGAACACACGACGCGATCCGGAAGGAAATTCAACGACGGGTGTTGCGTACTCGGTGTTGCTGAAGCTGCTGCTGTGTATGACAAGCCGATTGGGACGCGTTCGGATTGATGGAAATAGCTAAGAAAAGATGGAGGAGCAAAATAACGAGACGAGATGCAGGACGGCCGCTGATCGAGAAAAATGTTGTATACCCGTGAGGACAAACAACTGTGGTGGAACACGACGTTCACTTGTCACTCACATTAACACAAATACACGCACGACGCGCACCACACACACACTATACACACGGTCGCGGGCGCAGGCGTACAAGCTGATTTGTTCGGTGTGCACACGCACACACACCGCCGTATGGTACAGTGTGTACGCCGGAAACTGCGGCAACCGTGCACATTGAGGGTCGGTCGTGGTCACACTCGTGGTTAACCGAGGCGCGTTGAGTAATATTACACTATGCCGAGGCGACTTGATTATCACTATTTTTCCAACACCCGTTGCCGGTTTTGTTGCATTTGGTGATATCGACGACGAATTTTACTATCTTTACCGTCGCATTGGTATTTTTCGATGGAATCCTCGTTTATCATGTTCGCACCGATCGTGCTGTACTCAAATAACAATCTGTCATTAAGTAATTGTAACTCACTGCTTCGTTACCGTAAAATGGGTTGAACAGGAACGATTTTGGAAGTTTTTTGATAATAAAAACGACAATTTTTAAGGTAGATTTATTCTGAAAAGTGTTTTAGATAGATTACACTCAGACGCCTTTTTTTTTAATATAAAATTTTTAGTTTAGGTCTGTTAGTTTTTTTTAAATTTTTTTTTTTAAACGTGTTCCTATTTCCCCATTAATGGGGTGAACCGGAACATAGTTAAGATTTTCCCAATTTTTCTTATTCTAATAAACTGGTGATAGATTGGAACACATTTTATTTTTTTAAAAAAGGTTATATGACATAAGTACCTACTTTGTTGATTTCCAAAAAAAATGATGTTAATATACATAGTAGGTACCTACTTAATTAATTAAAAACAAATTAAAATAATAACATATCACATCAGGTTTATTTAAAACAACTTAATTATTTTCATTTATTTTTAAACAACTGAATACATAATATTTAACAATTTATATTAAAACCAATTTTATAAGTCTATTTACTTTTTAAATATTATAATAACAAATTAAATTAAACCATACTGTATGTTTTTACATTTCTTTTTTAATAGATAACTTAATAAATATTATAATTATAGGTAATTAATAACGAATTAAATTAAAACAAATTGTATAAGTTTTTTCATTTATATTTTAAATATTTCAATAAATATTATACTAACAACTTAGACTAAAACAAATTTTACAGGTAACTCTTAATTTCTTTTAAGTTTTTCATTTACATTTTTATAGGTAAGTTGGTAGTCATCTAAATAGGTAGGCACCCACCAATAATTTACCATTCACTATAATTTACATCAAACATCATTTGCCTTCTTCTTTGAAGATTAGGATGGTTTAATTAAAACCCCTATAATATATTTTTTATCTATCCAACATTTGTCTTCTGGATCAGGAAAAATAAAATTTTTTTCTGAATTCCACTTTATAGGACTGTATATTATAAATGATGCTTATACCTCAGATTTTTTTTATTTCTAATACAGTATCAATGAATAAAACATTTTTTGATGAATTCTGTCTTGATCTAGAATAATAGGAAAAATCTACAACAATCCAATCATTTTCCTTGAGTTTTAAATTTTTACCATATGGATATACTTTTTCTATTTTTTTTTTTCCATTTTTCAATGTTGTGTCTATACTATTTTTGTCACTTTCATATGCATCTTTCAAACTGTTGACTGAACTATCATAATTTTTCATAAGATCATTAATGATTGCTTCTAGATCATCAACCTCTTTCATTTGCATTTGTTCCTCTTCGTCAGAACTGGAAATTTGTTGGTCTTCCATTTCGAAAATTTCCAACACTTTTACCTGGCTGAATGTCTAACCGCTGTCTCTTTTGTCTTGTCTTATTTGTACCTTTTGAATAACGAATTTCTTTTAAAATTGAAATTAATGATGTACTCAAAATTGTAGTGTTTTCACTATAGTTTTCAACTATTTCTGATGGTAAACAATTCAATACATTATCTCTATTCAAAGGAATGATACCACATTTTTAAAATCCTAACAGGATATTATTAATTTGATTTGTTTTTATGAGTTGTTTCATCACATTTAGAAGTCTAGGAAATTCTGACTTGGGGATAGCTGTTTCAGTTTTTCCAGCTCCAATTTTCCAAATTGTCAAGATTTTGCGCCATGCAATTTTTAATGGATGAAAAAAATGACACATCCAATGGTTGAGTAAGGTGCGTACAGTTTGACGATAAAAATACAAATGCGATGTTATGCTTTCAACAAGCTTTTATTCCTAATATAGTCAAGTGTGAAGACAAATTATCTCCTATCAATATTTTTTTGTCTGGTTTATTTTTAAAATATGGAATCACTGTTTTAAGAAGCCAATCTTCAAAATAGTTAGAGTCAAACCACCCAGACTTGCTTCTATTAAACTTTGAATTTTTGGGATCACCAACAATCCAAGGTGTATACATGTGTAAAGCTTTGTATACTATGTATAGGAGAAGAAGTTCTCCATTGCCTGTACAAGAAAACATTTCAGATGTACATGATTTACTATGGTTTATGACCCTTTTAAGATACTTGCGACTGCATTTAGAAATAACTTTTATCCTTCCTGGGTCATCACTTAAGTTTGTTTCGTTATAGTTTAATATGTTACATGGTGGAATATTAGTTAATGAATGTTCTAGATTATTAAAATATTCATTTATATCTTCTTTAGATACTTGTGTATGTGAATGTTTTATATTCTGACATAGCCTTTGCAAAAGCATATCTCTACGACGTCTTAAGAAACACATTGCAAAATCAATACCAGGCATGTTATATTTAAATTTTTTTATGTTAGTACCTTTGGTGTCTAAATAAGATTCTACAATAAATCTAAGGTCAAATGTAGTTAATGGATAACCCCATAGCGAACATGTTATAAAACATTCAACAATTAATCGCTCTACATTTTTAGACAATATAGTTTGGCCGCCTTGTGGTTTCATATTTTTACCAGGAATTCATTAAATTTATTATGCCTGTGCAATACTGTCACAAGTATACCATATATCTTGGAACAGTCACGAAACGACATACCTGATGTTTTGTCCTTAAGTGCCGAATTTATTTGGTCATCAGTGTACTTTGCCAACAATTTTTATGTGACTGTTCTCTGATATGTACATGGAATTTTGAAAATAAAGGTACATACTAAAATACAAATAATATAATTAGGTTCCTACTTGTTATGCACTTAGTCTATAGCAATTATATAGGTAGATAATAGACATTTTTAATAAATGTTGTGCTTATTGAAATTTGTTAATATTTTCGTGTGTTTCTGTTTACCCCATGTATGACACAGATTAGTAGTATCGGACTTTGAAGCATATTTTATACTCAAAAAAATATTATGAATTCCATTGTGATTATGCGAAACATAATTAAAATATGTCTATTAACTATTAATAATCGTAAAACTTCCTTACCTTAACTACGTAGTTGATTTTCCTACGAAGCTTTTCGGATACTTAAATTTCACAAAAAAAAAAGATAATGATAATAGCTTATCAGTGATAACAAAATTATGCTATACCATAGATAAGAGATAAATAGAACGCGTACTCTCTGTAGTAGTTATGAAACAGTCACACTAGTGCTAAAAACAGATAATGGTTATCGTAATAACTAAACAATCGTAATGAACTATCGATAGTTAAGTATATTGAAAATGCGATATAGTCAATATCACCTAAATGTTGTTTGTAACAAAGTGCTGTTGTTATCATAAATATTTGTTAATTTATGTACCTTGTTATCAATTCAAAACAATTTTTTCTCGTTTTGTTCTAATTCACCCCATTTTACGGTACCCAAATATCGTCGTTCCTTTGTTAAATCTATTTTTCATTCAAATTATTGTCGAGCAGCAAACGAATAACTACAAAAGTATGTATTTAAAATAATTTCTATATCATAATAAAATGATTTCTAGCATTTTGTTAGCATCTAGCCACTATTTGAAATCTCAATTTTTGTGAAATTTGATAATTTTACATTCACTAAAATTAAAACATTTCAAATTAGTTCATTAGATATAGTACAGTAATACATTATAGAGTTATAATTTACTTAATCTTTAATATTACTTTGTTTTTAAATACATTTTTGTATGAAGTGTAGATTTTGTTGTATGTGTTTATCGTTCTTTTAAACATATTTATTCAATTTTATTTAGAACATGGAAACCGATAAAATAGGAATTTTAGAAAAGTGTGTAGCTGCTTTAGAATTAAAAGTGTATGGTGCAAATAAAGTCACTCAAACTTCACTACCTAGTGGTAACCTTGTTGAAGAAGTAAAGCTAGTTGACAATACTATAGGTAATGCATGTATTGGTCATCCTTATGCTAATGCTTTACTGAGTCATGTAAAACTATTGGATAAGTTAATGGATCCATTTTATGAAGAATATCAACCTGAAATATCCAAACGAGAAGTTATACTTTCTTCAGAGTCTGAATTAATTGATTATGTGCAGCAGCTTAAGCAACTCGAAGAAAAACGACATACAATAAATGATAAGTCCTATGGAGAATTAGACAAATATACAGAAGAAATTGAGAAATTGGTTGGTAATGAAAGAAACCAACGTCAATTAATTAACCAACAAACAGAACATTTACACAAATTATTATTTAGGTAAATAAAAACAAATTACCAAGACTTCTTAACAAAGTTGTAATTTAATTTGTATTATAGGTATGAACAACTGATGTTAAAATTTTCAATAGCATTTGATACATTAGAAAAAGCAATAACAGTATTAGAGTTAAAGACTTCAGAAAAACCAGAAGAAGATATTGAAGATAGTAAATAAATCAAATACAAATATATTTTTGCATAAAAAAAGTAAAAATATCTTTAAATTAAACATATAATATATATAATTTTTATACTTGAATCGTTAATATTTTATCTATATGTTTTATAATTATAAGAAACATTTCTGATAATATATTTTAAGTGCTTTAGTTTATAATATTTATTTAAACATACAATAAACTATTTCGTGATTTAAAGAATGTATATTTTTTGCAGTTGATACTTTATATAAATTTGGTACATAAATAGAAAAGTAAAAAAAAAAAAAAAAATAGAATACATAATTAAAGAATAAATAATACATTTTACCAATTAAACTAATAAAATATATTTTATTATAAAACTTAGTTATACTTTAATTCAATAAATAAAACTATGGTACTATATAATTACTGATCTAAAAATCCATTAACATTTTTTTCTAATCGTAAAAAAAGTTTATATTTGAAGGAAGGTTGCCTTTTGCCCTAGCTGCATCAACATTTGTGTTAAATTCACTAAAATCAACATATGGTAATATACTTTTGGTGGATCCACTAGAAGGATCAGTTGTAGTTGATGTCGTGGTTTGAGTTAAGTTTATTGCTGTGTCTAAATAAAAAAATAAAAACATACAACTAAAATACAATTTATACAGATAATATTTTGCTAAATTAACCTTGATCGTATGAGCTATTCCAACTATGTTGTTGTTCTGTAATTGCATTAGGCATTGCAAAATTGAAGTTGCGTATCATCAACATAATATTAGGACGAGTTGCTCCCATAGCATTATCTTGTGCTTCGTAAGTATCATGATATATTCGTGCTATGTGGTCAACAACTGCTTGTGCAACACCAGTCAATGTAGATTGTACTCGTAACTTGAGAAATTAAAAAATAAGTAATTCAATGGTTCGTTTATATATAATACTAGGAGTGAGTGGGTATCCTGAACTTAGGTTCAAAAATCGAGAAATCAATTTATTTTCCAAATTCCAAGACTAAATAATACATAACTAAGGAAGTGATAGTTGCCTACTTAATAGTGGGATAGGCATGTTGTAAATTTTATCAAGATAAATAATTAGGGCTTCTAACCGGTTAAAACCGTTTTTTTTTATTAACCGGTATTATTGGAAAATGTGTACGAACGAAAACAAAAATGAAACCACAATTACTAATTTTATAGAACGAAAACGAAATAGTTATTCAAAAAAATATTTTTCGTTTTCGGACGGAAATAAATATATTTTTAATTACGAAATATAATAAATATTTAATTTTAGATTTTACAAATTTTGTTAAGTTGGTCAGTCTGATTTATTTGACCAAGACAGGTAAAAATTGAATAATTGGTAAGTGGGACTTGTAATGACTGCGTTACATGGCACCCGAACATAAGCCAATCACTACATTTAATTAATAAGCGGATACAAAATAAATAAAACAAATTAATTTAATTAGATTTTTTTTTAACTTTATTTTGAAAACTGCATTAACTATCAATTGCACACGTATTACATAACCTATATACTAACATGCACTGTGTACAGTGTAACCACGTACACTACAGATCCTTCCCACTAAGCAAGGAACCGTATCATCAATTATTAATGATTGTAAAAAGGGGGAAGATAACGAAGAAGAATTTAAAAGGGATAATGTATGGATCCGAGAAAAGTCGTTTACACCAGGAGCAATAGATTAAATATTACCTATGGTTTGTCTGAAATATTTACTATTAGAATATAGAACTGCGGGCGAAGGAGAAAAATGTTTCACAGGGGTAAATAAAGGACTGATGATTTTTGGTTTTTTGGAATTGAAAAGTGATGACGAACGTTTAGAACTGGAAAATCCTCGTCTAAGGAAAGAAAATTAGATTTTGCAAGATTGGGAGAATGAGCCTATTAAAAATTTCGGAATAATTATATAATGAAGTATAAAGGTTTCTTTTTTAAATAATAAGGTTTCTTGATATGATAAATTTTCGTTAACCATAATTTTTTTTTTATTTCTTTTTGCTTTGAACATTCTTCGCATTTGCAATCAGTGGCCACATAAAAAGTTTGCAAAATATACAAATCGGATCTGTAGCTGTGACAGGACATTCATTTATTTGGTGCTTGGCGCTGCCGCAATGACTGCATCTTGGGTCGCTTCAACAAAATTTTTGTGTGTCCTAAACGTTAACAATTATTGCATTGAACTGGGGAACGGATACTAGGCTAGACTTCCAGAAGCATATTGAACAGCGAGATATATTGAAGAAATTTTGGGGAAACAAATTTTAATTCGACAATACGAGTAGGCACAATATTTCAGTCTTTTTTTTATTGAAATACGTTTGGAACTTTCAATTGGAGTTTGGGATTTAACGCCCTCCCTATAGTCGTCTTCAGAAATGATGCAATCGAGTCCAACTACGCTAAATGAGTAAATAAGATTTAATGAAATACAAGCGGTTAGACCTTGTTCTATTAATATGTTTGAGTTCAAGCAAAGATTACCATTGGCAACCGAGTCGAAGGTAATTTTGTTTTGTTTTTTCGCGCTTGCCGGTTTAATAATTGTAACACCAGTAAAATGTGTGGAAAAAATTTTAGCTGCCTCAATGGGGTGCCAATTACTCAAATTTGAGTTAGTATTTATACATTTGACAAGAATAATGATATGACTATTAGAGCTGCGCGATTATTTTATTTTCATATAATCGATGTGTAGAAAATTATATCGATTATAATCGGTTTTTTTTATACATACATTCTAATCGATTATTATCAGTAATAAATGTTATAATTGATACTTAATCAATAATCGGTTATTATTAAAACATAAATTATAGTCAATAGTGCTCAGATATTGTTGCATTAGTAATTTTTTTTCTTTTGTTCCGATTCGCTACTAAGTAGGTTATAAATTTGTTTTAAACAAGTACAAACAATTATCTAAAAATTTTAAGTGCAACGTTTTACAATTTTTGACCAAATTTCAATTTTATTGCAATTTTGTTGATTGTCGTCATTTTCAATAAAATTGTATGTATTATTTTTTTTGTGATACCAAATTTTAAAAAGTAACAAAAAACATAACAGAACATAACAAAATTTTGTTAGATTACATAGGAATAATCTATGGCTTTTTTTTTTTATTTTTTATTAAGAAAGCTTCAAGTTACAACTAATATAGCTCAACAATTACAGATAATCTATGGTTATGTTGGGCTTTGTTGGTTGTGACTTATGACAACTCATTTCACTGTCGTTTTTGGTGGTAACTGGAAAAACTATTTGATGAGTAGAAAAGTTGCCGTAACTCGTTAATTGTTTTTACTCATTAACCAGTCGATTGATGTATTATTAAATATGTTCGCAAGACGCAGATCACAAATCAAATGTGTGTCCCGGTGTTCATTCCCTCTGTTAAATTCAACATTTGTGAATATAATAACAACATATTTATAAATATGACGTATCAATAACAATTCTATCAAATTTTAAAAATAAACACTAAATTCGTTTATGTTTACATTATTTTAGTAATAGTAAAAGGGATTTTAAGCTATAAATAAAAATACTTCAATAACAATACCATGACCGTTACAATAAAAACATTTTAAATTTATGTTATATTTCTAAAATATTTTTCAATTACATAATGTATAAAATATAATTCAATTATAATTAATTTTCGATTATTCTGTTTTTCAATTATTATTTAAGTCAATTAATAATTGTTTTCATTAATCTAAAACAATCGTACCATCTCGATTATTCGATTATATAATCGATTAATCGAGATTAATCGAATTGCGGTTATATCGATTATTTATAAAATATGGAAAATAATTGATTAATCGATTAAAATTATCGATTATATAAAATAACCGCGCAGCCCTAATGATCATTGTAGTCCGATTGAAATGTTGCGTGTGTTGCAGTGCATAAATAAAGGCACTAAGAGTGGAATCGTTAGTGTTATTAGATGTAGATATCGAAGTAGCATTATTATTATTTGATAAAGAGAAACTTGCATTGAACTTATTTAAATTAGTTAAATTGGTAAAATCGATATTGTTGTTAATGGCCATAGGCAACGACGGTGACGACGCGTTATCGGTTGCAGATAAGGAGTTAAATTTAACGGCCTGATTTAATGGTATTAAAGACGGTGGATTATTAATAATACGTTGCAGATCAGAAGACTTTGGGTTAGATGAAACAAATTTAAATTTACCTTATGTATTTTTACTTATGACGAGAGTAAAGTTAGGATCTGTACCACGGTTAGTGTTTAAAGACGATATCGATTTCTTGGGCGCAGGTGATTTACCTGCATGCAAGTCGCTGCCCGAAAACGACGACATAACAGGAGTTAACGAGTTCAACTAGAACCTTGATACACTCAGAATAATGGCTGCGAAAAGAGTAAACACACCGAACACAACGATGGCTGAAACGCGAATGGTGTTATTTAGTGATGGGTATAATCGAGTAACTCGATTACTTGAGTAAATCGACTACATCGATTGTTAGGATAAATAATCGAGTGATTTGCTCGGTTTCGATTCTAGAAACCAACTGAAAAAATCAAATGAAAAATTAGTAATTACTAATTTTGTTAGTAATAAGTAATAATTGTAATAAGTAACAAATAATGAAATAACTACTATTATAGTCGAGTATTTTTATTTTGCTCATCTAGTAATCTCTTAACAGTTAACAATCTTAATATTTGAATTCATAGGAATCATGAAAATAATAATCTAAATACGGACTATTTTTATCTGAAATAGTTTCATAGTAAATAATCTTATCTGTTCTGGAAATCTTGGTTATTGTCATTATGTTTATTTATAAGTATACTGGGTATACAATTATTTAATACATTCACTACAACACTACACAACGGATACTAATAACTATTTATATGGTGGACTAAAATATATTTGGACTTATTTTGTTACACTCGCAGATATTTATTATTATTATTTTATATTATTTTATAATATGGACGCATATGTTGCACAACTACAACATGGTATTATACGAAACGTCATAATAATATATAGTTTAATCAAAATAAATACTCATCGTACATGTTTATGAACTAAACTGTTTACACTATTCCCTATACAAATTGGTAGCTAATAAATAAGTAATTTACTGTAGTTCTATAATATTTACTAGCTAATATAATAATATATTTTTGCACAAATTCGAGCTTTTTAAAATGCGACCAGGAAATAAGCAACGTTCGATAGTGTGGAAGTAGTTAAAAAAAAAAATAGTGGCGAAACGACAGTAACTAGCCAAAATTGTAAGAAGGACTTAAAGTTTTATGGAAATACAACCAATTTAAAAGGTAGATACTACAATATTTTATTATATTATTTAGTAATTTTAGTTATACATGCTTTCCTAATTCCTACTATATATTTACCTAAATTATATTTTTTAACATACTAAACATTTTTTAAAAGAGCACTTAAAACGAAAACATCCAATGCTTATTGCTATTCTTATTTCTACAACAGACAATCCAGATTCTGTTTTACAAAATATCGAAAGCATTGACAATTTGTCAGATGTTCAATCATCTTCGTCAAGTACAAATACACAAGACCAATTTTTAACTCTTCCTCTAGCTAAACGCTCGCGTCAACTAAAATTATTCGGTTCAACTAAAAATAATGAACTTACTGTTGGTGAAAAGAATGATATTGATAAGTCTTTAAAGGACTATCCAAGGAAAAATTTAAAAAAAATATTTTCATGAAATATTGTAGAATGAAAACAATTATGAATTTTGTTAAAAATAGTTTTTCATTGCTTTGCTCCGTTCAGTACTTATAGTCATTTTAAAATGACGCGTGACGTCACAGGTTCCTTCGGTCGGCCGCCCGCCTATTTTAATACACGTATTTCCTCGACGCGTCGTTAGTCATTTATTTATATATTAAGTCATTATTATTACGGCTATCAGCCCTTATCAACAGTTGAAAATGTTGGATTTTTAGAGTACACAAAAAAATTACAACCACTTTACACTCCTCCAAGTAGGAAATTATTAACTACAAAGTTGCTGCCTGATCAATATAACATAATTTTTTTTAAACTGAAATCTATATTAAATAACGTAAATGATGTGTCTATAATAACGGATATGTAGACATCTGATTCCACAAAGTCTTATATAACTGTTACTTGCCATTTTATTTTCAACGATAATTTATACTAGTTAGTTATTGCCACGGTCGGAACTAGGGGGTGGAAGACGGGGATGAATTCCCCGGCGTAAAATTTTAGAGGGTATAATTTTTGTAATTATTAACAACTAATTTGATATTTTTAATTTTGTTAAATACTGTTATTAAGTTAAAACTCAATAAGTATGATTGTATATTAATTATTACAAAAAAAATTCTCGAGAAGAGTATTTTTGATTATTGGTCTATGATAGAGCGTAATTTTAACATTCTCCCCGGGCGTAACGATTCTTAGTTCCACCTCTGGTTATTGCTACCAAAGAAATATGTGAAAGTCATACCGGAGAAAATATTGCTTCCGCATTATCATATATTTTTAATGATTGGAATATAACTAATAAAACAGTTACAATAGTGTCCGACAGCGGAGCAAACATAAAAAATGCTATTAATGAACATCTGAAAAAATATCACCACCCATGTGTAGCTCATACCTTAAACTTAAGTGTTAATGATGCGATAAATGAAAACACAGAACTTCTCCAGGTATGGAAAACATGTCGAGCTATAGTGGGTCACTTTAAGCATAGTAGTTCTGCAACTGAGAAATTACGTGAATTTCAAAATCAGAGGACCTCCCTGAGTTAAAAGTTCAACAGAATGATAGTACTAGGTGGAATTCATGTATAATCATGGTTGAAAGAATCATAGAAATAATAAATCTTATAACTGCTGCTATGTCGTCTATTCGACGAGCTCCAAATTGTTTGACTGGGACAGAATGGGATTTAATAGCAGATTGTGCTCAAATTTTAAAACCATTTGAACATATGACGTCAGAGTTGTCCGGAGAAATATATCCAACATTATCCTTAATAAGAGGTCTTCAATATACAGTAAAAAATATAAAAGCAGATACTCATGCAGGTATATTACTACAAAATACATTACTAGACGTAGTAGTGAAACGTTTAGGAGCTCTAGAAAAAATAAGTATAATAACAAAATCAACTTTCTTAGATCCGAGACTTAAAAAAACTGCATTCGGAATGACTGATAATGCAGAAAATACTCAAAAGTGGATAATAGAAGAGCTTACTTCAAATATTTATAATAATAACAACGATAGAAACAATACGAGTATAAGTGAAACATCAGCATCCCTAATTTTGACCAGCGAATCCTCAAATTCTTTATGGGAACATTTCGACAGTAAATTATCTCAAGTCAGAAGTATTATTCACCTTGATATTAGTGCAGCGGTTCTCAACCGGGGGTCCGCGAGTAGGTATTAGGGAGTCCCCGAAAAAAAAGCGTAATGGCGGAAAAATTTAAATTTGTTGTAATTAATTGAAATTACTTGTGAAACTAGTAGTGAAATATTGTAAATGTTGTAAATAGGTTTTTTCGTAACTTATACGATTTAGTATAAGTGTATAATAAGAGTATAATACTGGAAAACGTGTATTGAGAATAACCAACCAGAAATTTTTGAAGCACTGCATGATTTTCTCAGTGAAACTGATATGAACTTATCACAAGGCATCAAACACCAAATTGTTCAACATTTGAATGAGCTTAAAACAGCTTTTGCAAAATACTTCCCTAAATGTGGAAACGAAGACCACTGGATTATGTTCCCTTTCAGTGAAATTTATTTCAAATCTGCAGTTTTATCAGCCCGTGAAAAAGAAAAATAGATTGAACTGAAAACGGACTCTTCACTCCAAGCAGCATTTCTTGAAAAAAAATCACTGATCACCTTTTGGGCTAATGTGAAAGACGAATATCCTGAGCTTTCTTACAAAGCATTCAATGTTTTGCTACCGCTTACGAGCTCTGTATTAGTGGAAAGAGCCTTTTCGTCATACACATTTATTAAAAATAAGTACCGCAATAGACTCTCGGTGAGTTCAGACTTACGAGTTTATTTATCATCCGTGGAGCCAGATTTCAAAAAGTTAAGTGCTAGCAAACAAGCTCAAGGATCACATTAAAATTACATTTTTAACTCAATATTATTTTTTATTATTTATTTTTATACATACAATGTATTGCGCATGTTGATCAAAAGAAATCAAATTTTTCATTATTAAACTTATTTCGTAAATTCATATCTATCTTATGTAAAAATATATGACAAATTGGCATTTGGGGGTCCGTAAAGTAGTAGTGAGTGGTCAAGGGGTGCGTGAATAAAAAAAAAAGGTTGAGAACCGCTGTATTAGTGCAATATTAATGGTTCGTCAATACCTAGAATTACCTCATTTGCAACGTAGAAAAAATTGCTTGGATTTTTGGAAGCAACATAAACATACTTTTCCTGAGTTATACAAGCTGCAATTAAAATATTTATGTATTCCTGCAACTTCAGTTCCTAGCGAGAGGGTATTTTCTAAAGCTGGATTGTAACCAATAAACTTAGAAACAGGCTGTCGCCAAAAAATTTAGATTATATTATATTTTTAAATAGTAACTTAAATATGGTGTAATATTTATTTTTAATTAAAGTTTTAATTATTATTTTCATTTTTAAGTTTTGAACTGTTGTTTGTTATAAGCCTAACACAATGAATCATCAATTTTTTTATTTTAAAAAGTATTTTGTTTTTATATTATAATTTATAATAATAACTATTAATAAGTGTAATGTGCTAATTTAATTAAAAATATTTCTACGAATTTTTAATAATAAGTTGATTATTATTTATTAGTTCATACTATCTCAATTATTTTAATCGAGTGAATCACTCGATTATGATGACATCTCGATTACTAAATTTCTTGATTATCATAATCATTCGATTATTCCCATCACTAGTATTATCTTAAATTGTATCAAATATTTGTAAATTTGTCCAACATTTTGAATTAATATGTTTTTTTTTTTTTTATAATAAATATTGCAGTTGTGTTGTTCATTATGTGTGTTAGTATATTCAATATTGTAATAAAACTTAAAAAGGAATATTATATTATTTATTGTATAAATATATATTAAATATATAAATTATGAACTTATTTTAAAAATATCTTACTATAGTTAAATTTTTTAATTAATTATTTCACAATTATGATAGTGAATTGTCTGAGGTATAAAATTGTTATAAAAAATATATTTTTTTATAACTAACAAAATTAACCAGTTTTATTACTTTGAAAACTGGTTTTAAAAAACTATAAAATATAAGATGAACTAAAGCCATAAACCACAAAAAATCATTATGGTTTGAAGCCCTGTAAATAATATGACCTAAACACTAATAATTATATTTTATAATGTAATTAAAATAAATCCCAAAATTATCTTGAATTCCTAGTTTAGGGTTAATACTTCTCAATTCCAGTCCTGACTCTTAAATATGTCTACCCATTCACCCCTAATAAGTATTTAATCCTATGTTAAGTTACTTACTTGTTCTACTACTAATAATGCTAATTCTTTGTTTACTTGGTTAGTGCCAGTTGCTTCTTCTAATGTTTTCAAAAGACCCGGAGAAGCAATCATCATAAATCTAAGTTTTATTTAAATATTAACTTTAAAAGTAACTGTAATTTGAAATATAATACCTATATGACGAATCAATAGAAATACCACCATCTACATGAGGTTCAGCAATAATTGGTTCAGTAGAAGCTGTTCGAAGTTCATCATAATCTTTATATGCACCTTTTATCATGTAATTACATAAACACCGAGTGGAGGATTGATTTCCAAGAGTTCTGCTACCTGTATTTAACTATAATTTTGTAAATATTCTGGATAATATATTACAATATTGTGATAATGTGATTAAGGATATGGGTGCTAGTTTAATTATAGTGTTGTAACAGTTTGAGAATCTTGTATGATTTTTCATAATTAATAAAGTTATAGTATTAATAGTTTAAGCTAAGTATTATATTTTACTCCTCGCAATTCATCCAGTATATTACAAATATACAAACCATTAATCTTTCCATCAGAAATTTTGAGTCCAAGATTGGTCATCCGCATTACTTCATCTAAATTAGTCAAGTTATGGTCAACTGTATGCTGCACAACTCTTAAAACATCATCTTTATCAGTTTTACATAATAATAAACGACTTTCCCCAACATTGGCCACAAATAAACGATTATTTTTAAGTATAGCTATTGCTGCTCCAGTACCACATGATAATTCTTCATCAAGTTCCTTCAATTTTTCTATCTGTAAAAATATTTTATAAATATTTTTTAAGAAATATTTAAATTAACAATAATTAAGCAAAATTTACAATTTGAGGATATTGTTGATATGCGTCATAATGAGATATCCCTTCAGGAAGTTGAAGTTGAAGACTTGCTCTTTGAAGTAATTTATTATCAATAGTTTCAATATAGGATTTCTCAACAGAAAGAAAACTTTGTCTACAATTCCATAATTTGTTTTTAAATTTCAAAACATATATATATATATATATATTTCTTACTGAATTATTTCTTTTGTAACTTCATCCATTTCAGTAGTAGGTAACTGACTTAACAAAATGTCTGCAGCAATACGATCACGTGCAAACCGAGCCATTTCTCCACCATTGTGACCATTAAAAATTCCATACAACCATACAACACCATCATCATAGCAACATCGAAGACTAATATCTTCCGATTCCAATTCTTCTTGACGTTGACCTAACTCATCATATCTTTGTCGGGTTAAGTATCCAACACCTATATTACATATTTTATTCAGTAAGACTCTCAAAACTAATAGAACATTTGATTATTCATATACATACCAGAAACTTTACAAACAGGTAAATCATCTGTCCAACTACGACTATAGTTAAAAACATGTTTATTATAATCAGGACCACCTTCAGCTATAGTAGGCATAATAATGAAATTAAATTTGTGTTAAAATATTTTCCCTGTAAATCATAAATAAAATTAATAGTTATAGATTTTATTATGATCTTTGCTCAACAAAATGCTGTGTACTAATGTATGCATTTATAACATATATTTTAATTGATTAATATAAATTATTTTAATTACGTTTACAAAAACATTGTGTTTCATGAAAAATATAATCTAGAATGGAAATTGGAATAAGTTTTCAAATTTCCAAATAAAAATGTCAGTGTAAAGTTTATAGTTTGTTATTAAATATACGTTATCAATCTGATAAACACATGTGAATATTACATAGAGTAATTTATTATTTTTCTATGGAATACCATTTATGTAGTTATCATATTCCAATAGTTTTATGATACCACAGAATTGATTAAACTAGAATGGACACTGATAAAAAATTACATTGGCTCTTATGGAAGTTTCGTAATTTGAGCTAAACTACTCTCAGTGTTACCATAAAATAAAGAAAAACAAAAATATTGTACACAATCCTTCGTTTTCAAAAACCTAAATTAGCGCTTCTCAACCTGTGATACGCGTACCACTAATGGTACTCCTAAAGCTTATAGGTGGTTCGCGAAGGAAATCTAACTTTATATAAAAAAGTTTTCTGACTGATATTGGTGAAAAAAAGTCCAAATTTTTTTGTGATGACAAAGGTCTGTTTAGTATTTATTAAAATATACTATTATTGTACATATTTGACCGTTTTAATGTTCTACATATGAATCTGCAAGGCTCAAACATAAAGATATTTTATGTTAGCGATAAAGTTAATGCGCTCGTGAGAAAGTTGGATTTATTTATTTCGCAAGTATCCAAGAATCATTTTTCAGCATTCGAGACGGTAAACAAATTCTAAAAAAACAGTGAAATTCAGCCAAATTAAAATATATCATTTCAAAACACCTAAAATCACAAAAATATATTATTTCCACTATATCCCTGAGTGTAACTCAGAAATTAAATGGATCATAAACCCTTTTGAAGAAGATTATATTAAGAACATTCCAAATGTTATTTTGGCAAAAGAATTATTCATTGATAAAACCTTGCTATGGGGTTTCCATTCTGATTTCATCTATTCTGTGATGATACCACCGTGTACACATAGATAATAATATTTTTCAACGGTATATGCCAAGGACTAAGATATACGTGTATAGTCCGTGGCGTATAGGTACTAAAGATCAGCAAGGGCCAGGCCGGCCCAACCCGGTCCTCAAAAAGCTCAGCCCGTACTGAGACTGGACCGGGCCAGGTCTTAAAAAAATTATGAGGGCTAGACAGGACTTTCGTTTTCGTAAACATTTTCAGGCCGGGACTGGCTGAGATTTTTTGGTAGAACTTTTCGGACTGA